CAGGTGCTGGTTCACCTACAAATCTGTGTTATGATCCAAAAATATTTAAAAGGAATAAAATAAAAAAAGGAAAAGTTCATATAGAGCCTAGGCTCTAAAGAATCAAATTAGAGCTGACCCCACAACTTCCAAAAGCTTATTTAGATGCTTGAATATCATCAAGTTGATCATCTCAACATCAAGATGCATGGATGTGAGAAAAAATGGATTTGAAGTTTTGGAATGGTGCATCAAATGGATTTCAAGTTTTAGAATGGTGCATCAAATAATGTATCTTTGGATCGTCAATTTTCAAGTTTTTATAGATTTGCATGATCTAAACTATTTTTTAAGCTTTAAATTTTATAACAGAAGATGAAAACATAATTTAAGGCTATCACAACTTTTCAGTATTGAAACCATATTTCTAGATACTATTTGAAGGTGGACTCTAATTTGATTGTTTAGAGCCTTGGCTCTATACAAATCGCACCTAAATAAAAATATAGGGGTTATTGGGGTGTGGATTTAAGGGGACTCAAGAAATATATATTAAAGGGTTTTAAAGAACCATACCATCTTAGAACCGACTCAAATACCTATTCTATTCAAATTAGTGCCACGATAAATCACCGGATTTTAAAACTATTAAGAGGTCGAAAAATCAGTGCTTACTTGTCTTCCTGATTTATAAAGTCGTGGGTTTGCAAATTTGCACCTCAAATCTTATAAAACTAAACTCAGATTGATCATTTTCACCTCTAAAATAATGGATATGATAAAAAATAGATTTTCCAGTAAAGCAATCCTCCTTCCATTTAAAGTGTTTACACATTAATTTAAGTCTAGATCTTTCCGAAACTTGGAACTTCAAAGTTGGGCAAAAATAAATTTTCAGGCCATCACTGTGTTTTCAAGCACTGGATATGGGCATTTTAGAGGGGCTTGATTTAAGCAGTGGATATGGCGTCATAGAGGGGCTTCAAGGTGCAACTTTACCAAGTTTCAAAACAATACATCCTAATCAGAACTTTTTTCTTTTTTGGGTAATTAAGTGAGGATGACGAACCTCTATCCATTGTTTAAATCGTTAGTTATTTTTTAAAGTGTTAGATGAAAATGGAAGCCTAAACCTTATTTAAAGCATAAATAGTGCCACCACCACGACGCCAACCCCATTCTCAACTAATCAGAATTTGATAAAAGGATACTGCACCCATTTTTTTAAATTATTCATGTTCATGTCATTTAACCAAGGAAAAAGTAAACCTCACCTCTAACTTATTGAAAATTACAGTTCTAGCATAAAAAACCTTTCAAATTGATCATGCCATTAGCCATTAGGGTTGTGAGAGAAAAAAAGATTCCAAGTACTAAAAATAATGTATATTATAACACATTATCCGGATCGGCCATTTCGCCTGGCAAGAACTATATAGTTTTTGGACTTCAAATTTCATTGTGGGCGTTGGAAATTGATTTTAAAGCCATCATAGATATTTTGATGCCGAAAGTTCTTTATAAACAAGGATTCAAAGTGAGCTTTACTTTGAAAGAGATTGAAGTTGTGGGTGCAATTCCAAAGAGCTGACAGGACAAGTCGTCTGATTGGTCAAACCGCCAACTAAAGCCTTGACCGATCTGATCCAAATTAAAAACTAAGTACAGCAAAAACTAGTGCTTGACTGGTTCTAACAAGTCCGACCAACTTTGTTTGCACCTATTTGACCATCCAAAAAAAAGTTGGCAACGATTACTTTATATTACACATTTTTAAACTATTGTTTATATTTTCTTAATATTTTTAAAATCCTATTTATATTTCTATCAATCAAATTTGACTAACAATCATCAAGTTTTAACTGGACTAAATCCCTTACTAGCTTGGAAGCTCGTCCAAGATAACACTGGTTGAACATAATGTTTTAAACTCTAAAGATCGGCAATTTCTAAGGCTGCTCTTCTTGATAACTTAACAAGAGGTTTCATCAGACCGGGCTAGACAATACCAAACCCATTACCAGTTTGGTGGCTGGTCACACTCATCCAATGCGGTATGTTAGTAGCAAAGCAAAGCCGAATTTCCCAAAGAAACGCCTATACAAAATCCGGCATACGGGAAAGATTATGCATATCACAGAGGCTCTCAATGGGTCCTGGAGCCAACTCCCCTATCAAGATTCGAAATAATTTATCCAAAATGAGACCAAATGCTTCAGATTTGAAGGGCATCTGCAATGGACCCAGCCAGGGTTAGCACTTCAAAGGGAGCCTTTCCAGACACAGCTTTAACAGTAAGAGGACAGGAATCTGTTATCCAAAAGTATGCGAAAGGCTTTTCTGTACCCTCTCCCTCTGCAACAAAGATAGAATCAACTAAGCAATGAAACTCATATTTTCTAACTTATCTCAATAGTTTAGAGGAGAAGAACAAAAATATTACCACTATTACGATGAGCAAACCGCTCCCATGATCTCTTGGGGAATACGCCATGTGTGACATAAGCACTAACCTTTGCAGCACCATGGGCTGCCAAAACTTTCTGGGAGGAAGACAAAAATATAGCACTTGCGTCAGCAGTGAATGGTTAGATCTAAAATTAAAATAAGCATCCATTGCTAACAAGTAAGACTTGTCTTCGATAACCAAACATGATGATTGAAGAAACACAAATAAAGCTCTTCTTATATGTAAGGCTTGCAATGTTTGCCATTAATTAAGGTCACCCCTTACCATTGTAAAACAGAGCCAGTAGCATTTCAGAATGGCACTTAAAGACAGAATTCACCTTAAGTTACTAAGCACACTCAATGTACAGAACAAGATTAGCCCATTATCATGTCTTGCATTTTGAAGTACAGTGTTAATGGTATGGGCACTATGGTTTTGTCTTCCAATGATAAAGAAATGAGTTTGGGACTGTTAACACTAAAGCTCTAACAATTGACCAAAGACGGTACACAACTCATTCTGACATCTAGTAATAGGTAACCAATAATTTTATTGAGGCACTTGTTTCAGAAAAGGAGTCATATCATATCGGAATTTATGGTTATGGTTGATTGGTTATTGACATAAATTTTGGCTTCCTAGAATGTTTGGAAGAATATTTTGCGCACTCAACAACTGGTAAGAGTACTTCACATCATGGTTAATTAATGCTCACAAGGAAATTCAGAGACAAACATGTCATTTGCCCAAATTGGTTCTATGTCCACTGCTTAAAGAAAAATATCTGAGTCCAGTTCTATTTTACAAAAATTCCACTTTGATTGAGTTGGCTGTAAATCATTTTGGGATTCGGACCAGGGCCCCCTCTCTATTTTGCAAAATAATGTAGGAAGTTATAATTTTAATGAATTGGAGGTCCCGCGTGTGTAAGACAAAAAACAAAGGAAGTTTTCAAATGCAATGAGCATGAAAATAATATTGTCTGCCACGATGAGCTCCAAACTTGTACAACACATATTGTATGTATATCTGTAGAGTATAACTGAAAATGATTTTGTGGTTGGAAACCAATTTGAGAACATTCAAGAACAATATCCAGAAACAAGGGTACCTGTTAAAAGTCAATGTGTGCTTTACATATTTAGTACAAATAAACTCACAAACAAAGTAGAACTCGAGCAGGTGGCACTAAGAACTGCTCCAGTAATATTTCAAAATACCTCGCATCCTACTTTTTTTTGAGAGAAGGTTAACTTAATACCTCTCATCCTACTTGTCTACCAATAATTTCTCGTTGGATATAGAAACTAAACCATGAATACTCCCCATCAACACTAGAAAATAGACACCTAAGGTTGAAAGAATGATGCCAGTTATTCTAATGGTTGAGCCCACATGCAACTAGTACAGATTCAAGAAGTGTTAATGTTACACACACGTCACAAACTAGATTTCATCTGAGACTATGGTGAGAGATTTCCATTTGCCCACAGGCTCCAGTAGGCACTAAAGCACATATGAGGTAAGAAGTCATAAGAAGCTGACAACCGTGACATACAATTCTATGGTAGGCCACTAGTTTCCAATAATGGACACCAGTCAATCTCCTTGGGCCATGAGTATATATTGGTGTTCGGGCTGGTAAGAACTAGTTGCAGTGGGAACAAAAAAAATGTCTATGACAAGTGAAAAAAAGGAAAAACTATACATGGAGAAACATATGGAGAACCACCAAAAGAATGTTATTAATCAAAATACCAAACTCCTTCATACAAGAACATAGAATGAGGACTTTGAACAAATGTCTGCGAAAGTGGCATTTTCTGACAAAGTCTAGTTGGAATGCACCAAAAATCAGTGTTGAATGAAAGAACAAATAAAAACCTGTAAGAGGGCACCCAAAAGTTTATGGGTGAATTGGATGCGCCCAATTTTTTTGGTTGGATGTTGTCTAGACTATTGACAATAAGAGTGAGTGACTTAACTAACACTGATACAAAAAATCTGCTATGCACATTTGTTTTGTTAATGTTTCATGAACTCATAAAAACAACATAGTTCCTACCAATGTTTTAAAATGCGGGATGCGGCCTTGATGCAGTGGGGGGCCGATGCGGCAATGCGGCCTCGATGCGGGTGCATCGCGATGATGCGGTCAATAAATGTAAAAAAATTCTAAAAAATCTAAAAAAATAAATTAATGCATAGAAAAAAATATGAAGGTGATATATGTGATAGTAGGTATTTTAGTTTAATGATTAACTTCAAAACTATTAGCTGTCGGAGATTCTGTATCCAGTTATCCACAATCCCCTGATAGAAACTAGAAACTTGAAACCAGCTTCATAAAGCATTCAACAATCAACAACCATCAGCACAAATTTGCACCATAAGCACAACTATAATTAAACACAACCATCAATAACCATAAGTACAACCATAAGCACAAAATAATGACATTACAAAATACAAATCAAAAGTCAAGCTCAAGAAGAGTTAATAGTTTAATA